ACAATCGCTTATTATCTATTGCCAGTCTCTCGAGTTTTCTCACTATCACGGACTTTTATAATACATCACTTTCAAGACCAAAAGAGGTGGCACGACAGAAAACAAGTCTTTAATCTAACTGAGAATAAAGCCTGTTAGGTGGTTATGCAGGCACAGCGCAGCATCCGCTTGGGTAATTCCGAGACATCGACTGGCCTGTCGACAGTCGACCGGCGAGCAAAATAAATACTCCCCACAGTAGACTGACAGTTTGCCGGGGTGCTCATGATGACTGAGGGAGAGTCTTCTAATAATCATCCTCAACGCGTCCTAGGCTTGCGAATTTTCTCATTCTGACACAGAACAGCCATTCTGTTCCACCATTGTCAGAATTGTTAGTGGCCTCCTCGTCCTAAGCATAAATTGTATTATTATTACACTAGTGATTTGCTGCCAATCAACTTCAGACAACCCAGTATTCCCTTCCATCCTCTTTCCGTTCTGCGTATACAAGAGGCAGCTTGGACAAAGCTGGATGAGCTTGTTGGCTTGAGGATGGTATACAGTCCGGTCCTCTGACAGACAACAGCCCTACCGCTATGATGGATCTGTTCTTTGCGGTGTGCACGAAGAAAACAACATTCTTTTGCAAAAAGTTCTTGTCTTTTGTCATCTAATTTATAGCGCTTTCCTCTCCCTTCCTTATTTATGCTCTGATCGTTAGGAAAAAATCGACCTAAAAACGCACTCTATTTTATTTTTCATTAGCTGCAAATATGAGTATAGATTAAAGTATTAATAACATGGTCCTGATGCATGTTCCAAGAATACCTAAACGAAGCTGGAGTGGTGGGCGCTTGCTTTGGCGTACATGAATCCCAGATCTCGATGGGTTACCTCGCCGCTACCTGCGGCGCCCCTCTCCATCACGCCCTGGTCCAGTAAGTCGGTTGGCTTAGTCATGCGTCCCATGCTGACAGAGCTCTCAGCCACTGCGGGCTGTTCACCGTCCTCCTCACCCTCACCCTCTTTATTCCCCATTGGAAGGACCTCCAGATTAAAGGTGACCTTGGGGTCACAGGAGTCAGTCCTGTATCGCCTGCCGCCACCGGTACTGTCGCGGGACGGTGGAGGGACTTTGGAGAGGGTCAGGGGGTCTAGAGTTTGATAGGCCTCTGTAGCGACGTAGAAGGTGGGATTTGCGGTGGACCTCATCTCCTCACCGGCGTATTGGTTCAG